TTAACTTTATTGATTTTAATCGGAATGAATTTTCAGTATTAATTCTTGTTATATACAAATGTATAGTGTTTACAAATGGTGCAAAACATACTAAAAATGGAACCAATCATATCTTAAAAAACATGTAGAAAATAGTTATGAAAAAAAATACTGGACATACTCTGTCTCGATCCTACAACACGTTGAACATTCAGTAAAATATACCAGTGGTTTACCCTATTGCACTATAACGGTCAGTGTAACTAATTCAAAATAACAAGATGAATTTAATCACATCTTACTGCGCACATCTCACGGAATTTACCGAACATTTATCGAATATTAATATATTCTGTGCATTGACCGTATAATCAGTATGGAATTGACAGGTTAATAAAATCAAACAATACCATCAAAAAGAATAATTTCTTGTGCTATTTTCATGGTGTTAAATTGAGTTTCTAAGCATAAAATAGTCATATGGTCAGAATTTCACATGCGGGTTATTTTGTTCGGGCTTTGGGTTTTTTGTTTTAAAAATTTCAGTTTTTTTTTTGTATAACATTTTAAAATAAATCTTTTAAAATTTCAGGGTCACTTTTTTTATCTTTTTTTTAAAGGCCCCTTTAAAACATATTAGAAATGGAAAAAATATTTTTGGGCTGGTTTCCCCCTTTATTTTTTCCAAATTTAACAGTTTTCCCCCTCCTCTTTTTCCCTTTTCCCTTCACTCTTAACTTTCCTGTAAAAAAGAGGTTTCAGTTAAAAAAATTTTTCTTTAATACTGAATTTTTTTTATTTGCCCTCATTTTGGGGGGAAAACCTTAGATTTTAAAAATTTGATGAAGTGGTCAGTTTTACTGATCTTTTATCTAAATATACCAGAAAGTTTACTTACTTGTTTGACACTAATTACCTCATATAGTAAAGTTTAGAGTTAATTTAGGTTTCATTTGACAGATTTATTAAAAATCATATTTTGGTATTATATTGGTTTGGGAAACAACATGTAAATGAATGGAGAGGGATACAAATTGTTGTATTCCCTTTGTGGCTGAGGGGTTGCCTTTAATGGTTGAGGCCTATGAATTGCAAATTGCAGCCACTGTTTATCCCTGCATGGACTTAAAAGGCAACTAAATTGGTTTGAATTACTGGAGTCTATGCATTTATGTTAGCTTCCACAGGTGAGGTGGTTTTGACCGCTGGAGTTGCTTTAAGTTTGTAACACCCAAGGTTAGCCAAAATCATCTTTCCTGTTTCAGCGCCACATGACCTAAATTGTGTTGGTGCACTGTAAAACCAAACCAAATAACAATCAAAATAAATTATTGTATCAGCGGATAACAATGCTGCAGGATAAAGAAACAAATTGTAACAGGTTTTAAAAAAAAAATCTTATTTTTTTAGTGCCATCTTGGATGAAATAATACGCTGAATAATAAGAAACGGGCTTGGTTTCTATAAAAAAATGTGTTTCTTTTATGATATAAGTGAAGAAAATAAGACATTGCAAGCTTTTATGGTTATTGTACCTGTTGGGCTATATAATAAGGATAATTAACCTTTATTCAGTAGTACTCATTTATATTACCTTACCTGCATTCCAAAATGATGAATTAAGCATTTCATGCACAATCATTGAATGGCACTCATCCCTAAATTGAGTCAGAACAATTGAATTGATAAAGCCAGTGGTTCATCAGCATAACTGCTGGATAGATTGTTAGATAAGCATTTTACTGAAGACAGGAATATTTTACTGTTTTAGAAATCTTCTTCATTTTCCTAAATTTGAATACAAAATGATGCCATTATTTTTTAAACGTAAAGGTAAGATTTTCTAGCAATTATGTAATTGATTTACATTATATCAATAAGTCTATGTCTTTCAGATTTTTTATTTTTTACTAATTTACTAATTTATGACCTAAGTTAATGATATAACTTATTTCTTTGATCATTCAATCTCATTTAGAAATTTACCATCATAAATCTGTGGTATTTAATAAAGTTTTTTTTTTTTTTTTTTTTTTTTTTTTTTTAAATAAGTTGCTGCTGAGTAATGGTAAAACTTAAGTTTTTTGCAGGCATAGGAAATTATTCACACATGTATTTATATATTTAACTGGAGATGAAATTTCTCGTGTTTAAAATGGTAGAAAAATTTTAGCATTCAGGAGGTATACTGAATTTTAAAAGGTTTTCAATAGGTGGCTTTTTAAAGTATCAATATTATTTTGAAAACATGAGATATTTTATTGATATTTTTAATTTCATTCATAGTTTTGGCAAAGTGAAAAGTTTGATAAATGAAGCTTCAATAAACTTTATATATAAAAGTTTATGAAAATATAAAAGTTTTCCGATTTATGAAAAAAATCTTGCCATATTGTAAAAGTAAGAAGTTAACTGAAGTATTGGTAAAATAAAGGTCTGTATTTAAGCCTTGGTTGTCACTGCGGTTTGTCTGATGGAATGTGGGTAAGTGCTCAAGAATCATTTATAATAGCGGGAAAATTTTAAGCTATTATGTAAGTTGGACTTAAAACCCAGACATATAAATAAAGAAAGTTATTCATGTAATTGATGGAGAAGAATAAGTATCTATAGAAGATACATCAATGAATGCATGCTTGATTAAGAAAGCACCAAAATCTGTATGCTACATGATGATTGTTTGATCAAATTGTATAATGAAAAATTGTTGCTGGCTTGCCAACATATCTCTATATTTTATTACTTAAGGCCAGCAACAAGCTGAATCTTTTACACATAGTTTTTCCTTTCCTTTGATTAGAGTTTTTATTTTCCCATATATTTACATGATTTAAGATTTTATGCAGTAAATGGATATTCGGTGGTGGTAGTTTTCACTCCGGATCATGGCAGTATACAGCCACATTGAATTAACCAGAGCCACGGCATCGTTCTTGGGCCTGCTGTACCAGTTGCCTTCACTTTCACAAGAAACTGGTTACTTCTGTACATGCAAGAGCAGAGGTACTGTACTACAAATGACTGTAGAAAGGATTTCATGATCAATCACAACAAAAGTACCCTGCACCGTCTGGGAATCAAACCCAGGTCACCTGATTCACAGTCAAACACTGTACCTATTTAGCTAAGTGAACGGCATGCTTTACTTTTGAAATCTTTCATATTATATATTTGAATTTGAAAAACATGCAGTGTTGAACTTTTAACAGGATGAATTATTCACAGACAGAAATATTTAACATTCTTTCTTTTGATTTCAATATCACATTTGTTCATAAACCCACCTATACAAGCTTCTTATGTAAATGTTGTTATGTTTGTTGACAAATACCAAATAAAAAGGCATAATGCCAAAGAGAAGTTTTTATCTGAAGCAATATAAATGACTGCTCCTTTCACTATATTTGTAGATATAGGACCTATAGTCAGCTGTATTTCTGTGTAGATTGCTTTAACATTGATCTGTAGAGTGAATCTAAATCAGTGAAATGTAATTGAAGGGTTAACCTGTGTCAGTCAAAATTTAAATGGATAAATAGGTTCAAAGTGGTTCTTCTCAAATAAGATTTTTTTTTTATAATTGGACGATCACCATCTATTATAATATAAATTGATTTGAATTTATATTTTTTTAAAATATCAGCTGTTTGTAAAAGGAATAAGGCAGTATTTTGGATTTGTAAGCTTTCTTTTTTGTATATGGGAATTATGGTTTTGGATTGAATATTACATTAGAAGTTTTGCAGTGGATTAAAAGTGATTTTCATGGTTAGTGAGTTATCAAGTGTAGATTTAATGTATAGTTTACATTATGTTTTAAGCAGTATTTATTGTATGATGATGAGCTAATCTTATTGAAGGATGTACAAATTGAAATTATATGTCATGTAATGGGGGTGAAAAATTAAAGGTCTTACAAAATGCTTTATGTTTGCATTTGGTAAAGATACTAAGCATTTTGCACTGATCTCTAAGGTGTTGAATATCATTTCTTAACCACTGATCCTTGGTAAAGAAGAATTTAATGGTGAATAAACTATTTAAATGAAATAGCTAGATACTGGAGTTTGTAAGGTAATTGTTTGAATGGACTTTGGAAAACAAAATGATGAAAATGAAGCCAGACTTGAAACTGACCTATTCAGGCAGTGATAGTAGTGAAGAAATTAGTGAAGAAATTAGTGAAGAGATAAGTGAAGAAATTAGTGAAGAAATTAGTGATGCATTAAGTGATGATAATGATAATATAAGAGACATTGTTGATAATAGGAGAACAGCTGATGTAAATGGAAATACTAAACCAATGTATGATGTTGTTAGAAAAATGAGAGGTGAGTATTTAATCATTGGTGATCGCTAAGTTCTTGAAAGCCTTTTGAGCTAATTATTAACTTGATGTAGGTGATTTCACTGTCAGTTATGGGGACTTGACTGAAATGAGGTATTTGTTGTCTAATGTCTTGTTACTAAGACATTAATTGTTGTCTTATAATTTTGTTATTTGATGGTATATACAAATAGATGTGTTACTGGTTTTCATAATTCATTTAGATTATCATATAACATTACACTTATTACATGCTTTTCATCATCAAAATAATTTTTTCACAGTAGCCAAACTTAAATTTTAGATGCAGAAGAAAAAAGCAAAGATTTTTTTGTAAATATTACAGAATTATTCTTAAGCATGAACACATTATGTCATGAAGGAAAGCAACATTATGTGGCAAAATACTTCAAAATGCCTGAAAACCATAAAAAATGCATGGAATGAATAGAAAATTAGTTTGTTTTGCATGCTAAAAAAATCACATATATTTCACTGGTGGACACCAACTGTAATATTTTCACTTGTGCCTTCACCACTTGCGAGAATATTGTATTAGGTTTTCTCTCTTTGAAATATTTTTCGATCTTAACTGCAAAACAAACAAAATTTTGCTTTTTTTAACTCAAGGGAGGTAACTCAAATTCTCTTAGCAATGATTTTATATCAGTTCTCTCCCTTTGTCTATTTTCAGAGCACCACAAACAACACCAAGACAAGTTGGAAGAGATAACTGGTAGATTTGACAGCATTAAACACTCACTCTCGGTAAGTTGCTCATTATAAAAATTAATTCTTTTAACTGTTCTCACTTACTATGTCTGACACATTAAACTTGAAATATTTATAAAGAGTGAGCGCAAAGCTCAGTTGAAATTTTAGGTTTAGATAATGAATAGGTTTGGCCTAACAGAGCTAGTCTATATAATGTTTCTTTATTTTCATTATTGTCTTTGTTCTTTCATGCTTTCCACTGTTAAGATTCACATGTCTTATTTAGATTAACATTCTTGGATATTTATAATTTAAAAAGTAGAACTATGTACATTACAAATGACAAATGAGCCGCGTCACGACAAAACCAACATAGTTGGTTTGCGACCAGCATGAATCCAGACCAGCCTGCGCATCCTTGCAGTCTGATCAGGATCCATGCTGTTTGCTATCAGTTTCTGTACTTGTAATAGGGTTTGAAAGTGAACAGCATGGATCCTGATCAGACTGCGCGGATACGCAGCCTGGTCTGGATCCATGCTGGTCGCAAACGCACTATGTTGATTTTGTCATGACACGACTCAAATAACAATTACAGGAGAAGGTAGAGACATTACGCAGTGAATGTGATAGATTACGAGACAGAGCACGGTCGTGTGAGGAAGCCTTACAAAGAGATTCAGACTTTAAAGTTCAGGTAAAATTTATACGGTTTCATCTTTACTACTTTGTCATTGTAAAAACCCTTGACATGGTGATATCTAATACCTTGTCGCCACTTGGTTTTTCAAAGAAAGCACAGATTTCCTCTTGAACCACTACATGCCTGTTTGGTATTATAAAACTTGAATTTGTACCAATAATCTTTTCTCCTTAACTTAGTTTGCTGGCACAGTTCAATAGGGAGATCATCCTAAAAGTAATGTAAGCGTAGCAGGGTTCGATCCTCAAGATGATATTTCAAGTGTATATGTGCCAGGATATTACCAAAACTGTGTTTAACAAAAAATCAAAAAAAAAAACAAAAGACAAACATACACACAACTACTATCTTTTTTTGGAGAAATTATGTTGCTTTCAGAATAATTATTGCTGGAAAAGCAAAAAGAAATTAAGAAGTGTATCGAATATTGTTGTTTTAATTTCAGTGTGCCCTAGCACCGTACAAGAATCTACCTCAGGAGATTGAAAGCCTTAAAACAGTACTGGAGATGAGAAATGATGAAATAAGTAAACTACGCAATACAAATACTGAACTCAAGAAAAAGGTATAACACATATTTGATATGTTTTAATATATATCAACAATTAAATCCATTTTATAATGTGTTTGTGTCTTATACGTAAGTTGTTAAAACCAAGATGACTGGGTTTATTACTGTCAAACAGAGTTGTAACCAGCGATAGTATGAAACATATCAATTTTATCTCTTAGTATCTTTGCAGTGTGCAGACATGCACTTCAATTGATTTGGTAGTCAGTGTAACTGAAAATGGCAGTATTTTGCATTCATATTTTCAATATTGTTTAATAAAACTTCCTTCTAGATAAATCGTAAAAGAAAGTGCTAGATAAATCGTAAAAGAATAATGGGAGCGAACATTAACGCATGGCATTTAAGAGATCATATATCCAAAGATATAATGATTTTATAAATCATAAATGTCTAACAATGATGAAGACTTTACATTTCTAAATTGATTTTGAAGCAAGGAGTAATAATTGCAGCCCTATTTTTAGTGCTTTAAAGACATGCAAGTCAGCACTGTTGACACAGTCTGGCCAGGCCTCCATTTTATATTTTGAATTTGAATCTTTTGAACAAATGATAGTTTCAATTCAAAGAAAAAGAAGTAATGTTAAACAACCGGTTTTGAAATTGATTTTTGAGATTTAAATAGGAATTCCTCTGCTTTAACTGGAAAATTCAATCATCAAAATTTTAAAAAATGTATTCTAATGTGTTAATTACATAATTATTGTAGCTTGAGGAACTGCCCATTGCCCAGGAGAAGATTATAGGTCTTCAACAGAAGAAAGAAAACCTGGAAGCCATAATTAGTATGAAAACTGACCATGAAAAGTAAGTTCAAAATAAACATTCATAACTGATACCATCAAAAATCTGTTATGAATTCAACATTTTCTTAAGATGTTTTAATTGCCTCAAGGTTTTGTAATTGCCTTAAGAATTTAGGAAGATTCTATAACAAGGTGATCTTTTCTTTTTGACATTAAATGATGAATATTTTCAATTATAAAAAGAAAAATCTTTTTTTTCCATGTTTAAATCGTTGAAAAAAATTTTATCATTCAAAGAAACATTTAATTGATGTGCTGAGCTCTTCTTAATATTCATGATACTATATCCAGTACATATCATGAAGTGATGTATTTAAAAATATGTGCTTTACTCATTTAAATTATTGTAATATGATATTTCAGAGTTCTTCATGAGAGATGTCAAAACTTGATGAGAAAGTATGATAAAGAATCGCGTGCCAATAAGAGACTGTCTATGGAATATGAAGAACTTATGTGGAAACTTTCAGAATCTTTTAGTGAAACAGACTTAGGTTCTCAAGAAGCTCTGTTTTATCAGAAGCTTGGAATGTCACCAACTAGTGGCGGGGATTCTATGGGTCCATTAAGCTCCCCTGGTATGGGTCGTAAACTGCGCACACCACCAGGGTCTGAGAGTAGCCCGTCAAGGAGTCCTGGTTACAGACGTACCCTATCTTCTAGTGTAGATGATAGGGATGAGAAAAAATTAAAGCGTAGATCAGGTAATTATTTACTTGATGAGAAGAAACATCGTGCCACTAGTCCTTTAGCCAAACAGAACCCACTTACACAGTCCTGGTCCCCTGGTACACAGGATGAATCACCAATTCGCACACAGAAAGGACGGTCAGGAAATAAGATGTCACAATCATGGTGTGTTGATATGGACCCATCCGATAATTTGTTAGATTCTGAAAGTAAAATTCCCCGCAGTCATTCAAGTATGGACAAAAGTAATAAACGGAGAGCAGCATCTGAAGGACCAGAAAACGGGGAAAATAGTGACTCTGACAAAGCTTTTGTTTCGCTTAATGATTCAAACAGTTCACGTGAACTTAATGAATCTGGACTCTCGGATAGTTTGAGATCTAACGGGATTTCAGAGGCGGTGGAAGTGCCATCTGCCTCAACGCCTAAATCAGAGAGCAAAAAAGTGAAAATGCAAACAAGTGATGTGTTCAATGAAGAAAATAAAGTAAATCCGGTGTCAGAACATGTTCAGACTAATGTAAATGACTCGATTAAAGTTCAAGATAAATCAAGTGTTAAAAATGAATTGAACACATCTGGACAAAGTGCAAGTTTGTCATCTAACACTGTATCTTGTCCAGTTTCAAAACTGCCAACAAGGGTTGATGAAAAAACAAGTAAAGATGGTAAATCTGGGAAAAGTCATAGTACAGAAACAACAGTGTAAACTTAACACCTAGATGTGCTGTCAATAATGCTGAATGTATATGATATGATAATAAACTGAAATAGAAACTAAGTTATGATTATGAAAAAAATCATGGCCTAAGTACCAATTACAGATGCTATGTTAAGCATTAGATTTTTTTTCCTCAAGAATATGTTACAATTTTAATTTCTTTTTGACAATGCTAAAAAGATATGTAAATTTTGATGATAATTGTTTTAATAGTATCTTACCTTTAAAACATAAAAGAAAAAAGGAATGAATGTAACATTCCTTATCTAGCTGACCATAAAAGAACCACTTGTGAGTCTGTAGAAAACGAATATTACAAAAAACAACTCACCCAATTTCTCAGATGACAGACTTTTTCCTAATAGGGACCAATTCTTGCATATTTTATGATACAGTACTTCTTTATGCTGATTATTCATCAGGTATGCAAATGTATATTGTTATGCTATTTTGTATGTTTAATGTGTAAAATGCGGTATGAAATATGAAATAGGCAATGGAAGAACTAGTCCAAACTGGTTGTCTGCAATGGAAGAAATGGTCCGAACTGGTTGTGACTGGCCATTAAATCAACTAAGGTTTAATATACCTAATTCTGTAAGCTTCATATCTATAGAAAGTTAATAAAAAGGTAAGTACTTGAATATAATATCATGAAAACAAATGCAATGACTTTTTATCTGTGAAGAACACAGTTTCTGGTTTAAAATGCAGAAGATATATGAATGAGGGTGAGGATTAAAATGAAGTAATTTTATGTGCCAAATACATTTTGTATTGTACTAGACGTGTATATCGTGCATGATCATTGAGTTTTACAATTTTTTTCCCATTTTATAACTTCTAATACCTATATAAAATCATTATCTATTTATGGCATATCTATATTCTCACATACATGTTCATACAGTGATCAGAGAATTCCAGTCTTAATGCTGCAATATATCAATTAGAGCTTTATCAATCACTGCCGCGGAAAACATTATCTTATATGCCTGGGGTAGTTGGTTTATATTTACAGTTTTCATAATGTTAAAGGGATGTAGTGACAAGCAATATATAGCCAAACTTACTACCATAGACATTCTTTCTACATTTTGTAAAGTATGATTTTTTTCCAGTGTTTAAATTTGTTGTGTTACTTTGATTCATAAAAAGGCCAACTGTCAAGAAAAAGGGACTTGACTCTCTTACAGATTTGACAACAGTTAAGGAGTCAATTTCAGTAGGAATTAAGTTTATGTATTAAAATCCAATTTAATAAACATTCTGTGTTAAAAAGGAACTGTTGATGACTTAGAAAGTCATGTCAAGATTTGTTTATAATGTAACAATTTAAGTAATAACACTATTATAACAGTATGTAGAAAATTGTCAAATCATAAGAAAAGGGCATCAGAAATATAAAAACTTACCTCATTTTTATTTGTCTCCATTTCAATGTATGTTTGTCTTTAAAATATCATAGAATATACTGTGTTTGTTATATTTCTGCTGACGAAAACTCACTATATACTACTTTTACCAGGTACATATATATAATATATTGATGAACTCGCAAGGTAGTGATGCAGGTGAAATGCCGCTATCATTTACTTATGTTGAATTTTTTTTTTCCTGAAAAATATTTAATTTCAATTAAAACTATTATAACCTTTTTTCATGTATGTTAAATAATTTCTTTGAAACTCAATGAAAATTATTTATGCATTAAACATTAAGCATATGTGTAATTTTGAGCTTGCCATGTAATGCTCCCCACATTGTGTTTAGATTATTTTTCAATTCAGGAACTATGTTTCGTTTTGTTGTATTGTATATAGCAATTATTTATATTTGTTCTAATATATTTACTGTAAAGCTGTTGACGTTAGAAAATTTTGCTGTAAATAAGAAATTGTAAATACAAGAATATTATATATAAAATATGTGTAAGTGATTTTTCTTTCTGGGTTCTCATTATGGAATATTGTTGTGCTATACTATTATGATGTGGTAATTTACATTATATTAGATGTTGTCAGTTCAAATATTATTATAATTATTATATTTTGGTTGTCATTTAGTTCATTATTTATTGCTGCCTTCATGTATAAAAGTTGGTTATTTTGTGAATAAGTGAAACAGTTGAAAGAATTTACACATACAATACAGTATATTTTGAAATTAGTTTAGTCAGATTTGTTTTACCCAGTGAAAACAGAAACTAATTTTGTCAGACTGGTTTAAACCAGTGGAACCTAAAATTGGTTTTGTGGAACAGGTTTTAACCAGTGGAAACAGAAAAAAAGTTTTGTTTTTTTTGTCAGTCAAGTTTCGCATCGTGAATATTACTATATTGATAAAATCTCACATAATTAAAGGAATATCAATTATTCAGATTGTTGTTATATTAATGAAAACTGATCAACCATATTTGTTTTTCTTTTTTTGGAATCTATGAATGTATGGATCCATCGTATTATTAAGTCTATAGTCAGTTTCATTATTTTGTACAATGTGTAGTAAATGTTTACAGAATATGTTGTGTTTCAAATAATTATTCCACTAGGTGCTTTATTTATATACAATATTTTGTAGAACGTTTTTGTTTCTTTCATTATATTTTGATTGTTTGCTAAGATGAAAGATCTCTATATTTGAGTTGTGATATATATTTTGTGTTTATTATGTTTTGTGAACTTGTGTTTGAATGCTCACAGTCTATGGTCTGTTTATAATACAACATCAGCTCTAGGGCATTTGATTTCAATTTTTGCTGTCTCTGTAGTAATTGTTCTTTCTTCAAAGATGTTCAACGACTGAAATATGTGATTTTTTTGTCATTGCCCAAGCTGTTTCTACATTTTAAAGCAACTGCAGCAAAAATGAAAAAATCAATTTCCATTAATGAAATTGTATATTGAATTTACAGTGATTAAATAGATATTGTCTCGTTTCAATTCTTAAATAATAGTCTACACGTTTATTCTAAAATTGTTTATGTGAAAATGAACGCTGACTTATGACCAACCTTTGGTCAACAAGAATTCTGATGAACGGCTAACGTTAGGTCGAAAGAATGCAGACGGACGACCAACCTTTGGTCAAAATGAATGCTGATATACAGTCAACGTTAGGTTTAAAGAAATGTTGATGATAGACCTACTTTTGGTCAAATAAATGTTTTTATTTTTTTTTCAGAAATGAAAACAACAATTATATGTATAAATTTGACAATATAGTTGTGGTGTAAGACATGAACAATATGAAATAATTTAGACTTATTCTCTAATTTGTCAAAATCAAGAAAACTAAAGTCTGTTATATCCAAGAGTATACTTTAAAACTGAATACATGATAAGTTGAGTAAATGTTACCATTGAATAAATGTATGTATTTTGGCAGCAAAATAGTTCGCTTTTATTGACAAATAAAATTTTAAACACTGTATCTTTGTGTTGTTTTTAACCAAATAGTTATCGTTTTATTGTCAAACAGTAGGTTCACGTTGATAAATTGGTAAACAGTCGTCGTTAACGATTGTATATCAAATAACTGTGACTTACTTAACTGCATTATTGTATGATAGCTGAGTTATGGGATTTTCATCACTATAATAACTTTGTCGCTTTGCCAGAAAGGGAAATATAGACTTTTTCCACATTATATTTATACCTTCGTATTGCTTTAGATTTTATTTATAAAACAAAACATTCCAAGCTGTTTGAACATTGTATCAAAATTGCAGAGAAATGCATGCCTTGCCACTTTAAAATTCAAATAGGAAATGATCAAAGGAATTCTGAAATAAAAGAAGTCATTTTCCTTGGGAATAGCTCAACTAACGAGATTTTGGATCCTACCGATTTGACGCGCGGGGATGTCAAAATAGGTCCTCGTAATGTTTTGCAAGAGATGTTCGAGTTTATCTAAGATGCCTGAGCTGGCGCTAAGTAATTTTGCATTTTTGCCTGATATGATGGTCAACATTCAGGTTAATGTTTATGATGACACTGAGGTCCCCAACCTGATCTACATATTTCAACTCGCAGTTACCGACATTTACACTCCCGATGTTGTTCTGTGACCCATACATGATTATTTCGTTTTCGGATTTGGTCAGTTTTAGTTTGAAACTTGTCATCCAATATATAATATCAGATAGACAAAGCCAAAGGTGTCTGAGAACAGTTGCCTTCTGTGTATTACTAGCTTAAACTTGGAACGCAATTTTATGATCATCGGCGTATCCATACAAGTTATCATTGAACATTTTTACAACTTTATTTAGAGTTGGGATGTACATTGTGAAGATGAGGTGCAGCGTTTAAAGGTTTTGAATGTGAAGTTGATGCTCCAAATTACTTTCAATGACCTATCCATACAGGTATGACTCGATCCATTTTAGCGATGAGCCTATAATTCCAAAGTCATCATGTAGAATTTTGATTGCCGTAGGAAAATCGATGAGATCGAAGGTTGCAGTAAACAATGTATGTTTCCATTATTTAATTACAACACCTTGCTCTCAATTAAATATGAAATAAATTATAAGAAAAATACCAACCAAACATTTTTATGCAATGTTCCTTCGACAGGAGAGAGAATTTTTCTGAGTAAAAGAATATTTGATTAATTAAGATACTGATCGTATAAATCAAATAAAACTATTAATACTAGTTTTGTTACATCCCAGGGGAAATACTGTTAATTTAAATGATTGAATCTATTCGTGCGGAATGAGAATTGAAATGCGAGTTTTCATGTTAATATCGTATATGTTTTATTTTCTCACATTATAAAAGTAGTATTGAGATCAAGGACTAACAATTTGAGATTACAGAAAATTTCCTAATTTCTAAAACATAATTCGTTGCAAAAAGTTTCTTGCAATGATAATTTTATTGTTTTTTGGATAAACTTGCCCCGCTTTATAACCACCATGTAATTTGCATTTTTTCAAAAGCGCTCTACTTATATTAATATTTCATTTTGACAGATAACTAAACTGAAGCAATCAAAACAACAATACTTAACGGAAAAATAACAAAATAAACAGTCCGTTTACAGAGTGCAATCTATTATAATAGTGTAAAAGTACAATACGAGCACATATATAATATCACATTAAAACAGGCATAATTCAAATAACATTTTTGAATAGAAGATATCTTAAAATCATTGGCCGTGTAGTCAGTCATTTTAGTATTTCATTGAAATAGAAGATTTCTTGGTCGATGTTTTCTGTTGTTTTGCGTTTTCTGTTGCACAGTCTTCACAATGATTACGATGATTATATTTTATGGTCGACAAGTCTAATCTTTTTGTCTTGTTTCATGATTTGATTGAGCTTTTTGTTGCATTTATATATTAATTACCCTTTTCAATGTTAATGTTGGTGTGTTTTGATAATTTTACAGACAATGTTTCATGAAACATGATCTATTGTGTTATTATCTGGAAGTAATAAATTGAGAACATACAGGAATTTCAAATTTGATTTTGAAACTGAGAACTATATCAAAGTATTGCTTCCATATGAGACTAGATCAGCACTTGCAAAATTCCGGTGTGAAGTCGCTCCAATTAGACTAGAAACTGGTCGCTATGAAATACTAGCAGTCTATGATAGAATATGTCCATTGTGTAAGTAGAAAATGAAATTCATGTTCTTTTGAAATGTCCACAATATGTAGATATCAGACAAAAATTTGTTAGACAAAGCAATGTATATTAATAATGGGTTTCTTATGTTAAATGATGTTAGCAAGCTTATTTTTTTACTTTCAAATGGTAGTATTGTTAGAGAAGTACCAAAAACAAACACATAAATTGATTTCAATCACTTTTAACTACTAGAAGGCCATGATTAATAATATGAACAACATTAACGGTTACAATGTTTATGAAATTTATACTGTATAAGACGTTTAGATTTAATCAATTTTAAATAAGTGTTTTCCGGAAAATCCGGTTAAAGTAGTAATTTAAATATTTCCAATATACATAAACGCTGATTATAATTACTAGATGTTTAAATAATGGATCTGCATAATCAAGAATATGAAAAATCAAGTACAATTGGATCTATTTTCAATAGAATTCACATTGCTGTTTAAAATACTGTTAAATCGTGGTAGTATTCCTATAAGAATGAAATTGTTTTGTCAAGTCTTTCATACAATTTCAAATTTCAGGATACATATGCATACGTCATAAATGTTTTCCGTCTTTCTATAATATTGATCAAATAGTTTAAACTGGTAAAATTAATAAACTATCGAATATAATGTCGTAAGATTGAGTCGTACCCATTTACGACATTGCTTGGTGATTTTTTTTATTGAAAATTTAAGTCCATCAATAATACATTATCAAAGACTGAGCATCAGCTTGCGTGCAAACCTAATTAATAACAAAATAATTCTATTTTTGTACATTTTATTGATGCAAGTATAGATTTAAAGATGGAATCAATCCATGTGAAGGTACAGTCAATATTTGATTTTTGTAACACTATTTCTTTTTAATTTTATTCCTTTATTTCACCGTATCATCTGCATGTAAGAAACCTCGCCAAAGGTCTCTGAATCGTAATGATTCTGCAATGAATCAAAGAACATC